AATTATGCAAGTTGCCCGGTCCAGTTCCGCGAGGGACGCCTCGAACAAGAAGCGTCTCGTGTCGGTTATTAACAAGAAACGGGTCCGAGGCACGTTACACGCTGCCGTTCCGCGTTGTGGGAGAAGCGATTGCATCGGTTACCTCACGGAATGTCGTCCCGGCCTATCTGCATGAAAACGGGGCCGTTTCACGGCGCCCCCCGCGCACGTGCACTCCGCGGAGTTTCAAAATTGAAGACTGAGCCGCGTCGACTTGTGTTTGTCTCTCATGTGTATCGTCGGCTGCACGCGGTCGATCCATATATCGAGGTATGAAAGATGCTTTCAAAGTTTATATAGATATAAATATAAATATATATATATATACGGTTGTGAGGATAATATTATTATTAAAAATAAATCGTTGTCGATGAAATCCCGTTGCTGAAGGCGTCCGTGCAACGGGCAACCGCTGCGTACGGTTACAGTTCAATCGAGAAGGAAGAATTTATCGGTTCGCTCGTTAAGCTGGCGACTAGAGGAACGAAGGCAAAGAACGGGCAGCCATCCACGTTACGCGTTAATCAATGATTATAGCCTCTTTCTTGGGGAAAGGGTCCCGAGGTCCGTTAATTGTCATATCTCTACTTAACACTTAGGCGACCGCCTAGAAAAAACTATAACTACAGCCTCCTCCATTGTCTCCAATTGAACTCATTCGATTGATTCGGTTGGTATCTGTGTTTTGTAAAAATAAGAACTGTATTTGATGAATTGCAAATAATCCCACTTCAAGACTTACGAAGTAACTAAAGAAAAGAGAAATAAAATAAAAGGCAATACGTTGCTAAGTGAACAGTGGGAGATCTCCCCATTCGGTTGGCTAAGTGTTAACACTTTTCAATTTTAATTTTCAACTTTTCTCAATTTTAATTGACCTCGATCAATAGATTTCATTAAAAATTGCATTTCCTAAAAGCAAGAGGAGTACTTAATGACTTACAAATATCTTTAATTGAAAGCTCACTAACAAGAAAAATAAAGGAAATAAAAAGAGGCTAAGTGTTAAGTACGCGTTCTCTTCCTTTGTTACCGATGCACCTCGTGATTCTCCAAAAAACAGGCTGCAACGGAATCGAACATTTAACCCCTCAACTGTCGACACCGTGACGCTCAGTTCGGCTCACCGCTGTTGCCTCACACGTGAACGTCTAAATTGTTTCTGACTAACACATTGAACACCGACTGAATCACTATAGTTCACTCGATTAAACGATGATTATTTGAAAACATTTCTATTACAAATAATGTTATGCCATCCAACTAAAGCGACGCGCGATGATAATGCAATTCAATCGACCGATTTAATATAATATTTTTTCCATTTTATCTATTTTGCTCAATGAAACATTACAGTATTCAATACGATAGGTAGACGACAAGAACAATCGGCACACAATGATTCACAGGTAACGTTAAGACACACGAGTAAGAGACTGAGCACCGTAGAAACTACTTCCGCGGTTTCACTCGGCAGTTAAGGGGTTAACCGAGATGGCCGTCGCGAAGGCTCGATCCGTTCGAACCCGAATCGGTAAAGGCACACGTGCATCTGTTTACTTAAATCGATAGAGGCCAATAGAGGAAGAGAAAGAGAGAACGAGGGAGAGAAAGACAAAGCGCAAGTGAGAGAGGGTAAAAGAGAGAAAGAGAAAGAGAGTGAGAGAGAGGTAGTCATAACGTGCACGCTCGTTAGCGGACCGTAAACGATTTAATCGCTCAAGGGAATTTCCGTTGGCTGCGTTTAACGACAGCGATTCCGTTGCCCGCCACGATATCGTCGCGAATTCGTTTTACGACCGCGCGCGATCCACCGGCGGCGTCGCGTGTACGCTCAAATTACGTTTGCGTACGCGTAATAACGTTACATCGGGGGTGGCGCGTGCGCGCGCGCGGGCGGTCTCCTTTCTCCTCTCGTTGCTTTCCCTATTAACCCTTTCACAGTTTTCTACGGCGAAGTATCCGGCAAGCCGGCGCGCCCGCCACCCCCTCCCGGAAAACCGTGTACGATCGAGCGAGCTGAAACGCGAGCGGCCGATACGATATTACCTGTAATTATTCGCGCATCGGGAACACGGTGTGCAAAGTGTTTCCGTTGTTTCTTGTTGGCGATGGTAACCGCGGCAATAACGGGAACACGCCCGATGAAATATGGGAACTGGAAAAAAAACCCCCCGGGGGGGGAGAAAGACGGAGGAAAAGTAAGCGAGCGCGGTTCTCGCGCGGTCTAAATGCAATCGTAACGGGTAATTAAAACGGTGAACGCGATGGATAATGTTCGGCTCGTTATTGCCGATGGTAATGGCCTGTGAAAGGGTTAATCCGATCTTCATTCTAACGATTAATTAGCCGCGTTGACCCCGATTAAATCCTCCGTCGCTGTTATCGGACGGTTGCAATCTCGAGCGACGCTGTGCGCGATACCTTCATTAAAAGGTAATCGTACGGTCACGCGTGCGTGTCGTTTTTCTTCGGGCCCCGGGTTGAACGTTCGATACCCGCGACGTTACCGATAACTCGACCGTAACGGGGCGCGCGCGCTGTTGAGGGATCGCTCCGCGATGATTACAGTCTCCACCGGTCGTCGCCGCGCGTTGGAACGTGCGGACTGCGAGCGATGCGTTCGAGACATTTTCACTTGTTAACCCCTTCGCTACGGTGACTATAGTCACAAAAATCGAGCCAGAAGACGATACAAACGATAACGAAAATACGTTCATGGGGAAATCATAAACACTGCTGAATTCAAATCACTTTGCTTCCAAGAGCAATGTCGGTTTTTCAGAAAGACTTGGCCTAATGCTGACTGCACAAGATTCACCCTTTGCACTCGAGAGGTCTCAGTCGCCATTTGATTGAACAAAATTATCAAATGAAAAATTCAATATAGAACGTTGAATAAAGTATTAACCCTTAGCAGTCCTGTGTCGAGTCAGACATTCTATTCTACTGCAACCTCTGCCTGTTTTAACAATTTTTTCTATATTTGTAGTATCACAATTGTTATTTAAAGGTACATTTCAATGACTTCCAAATATTATTGAATAAATAAATAGAGCGTCGTATCAAGCTGTAATTGAATGAACGTCGACGTGGACCTCAAAGTGAGAAACCAAGAGCACTTCGGACCGCAAAGGGTTAACACATGGAACATAAATGAAACTGCCCCATAATTTATGCAAGTTGCAAATAATACTGTTAATATTTCGTCAGAAAACAATGAATGTCTATAATAAATATTGTCGAGCGCAAGGGGGTAATGTTCCCACTTTTGCAGCCGTTCTACACGAGTTCACGGCGATGTCCATAGCGAAAGGGTTAATTGGTCGCAACGTGTGTCGCGGAAGCTTAGGAAGCTCTCGAACCTGTCACTTAGAATCCCACGCACACTATCGATAAGGTCTCGACTCGCTCTCGGTTCGGTCAAACATTCTTCTTGTTTATAACGCATGCGCTCGCGCTGTGAATCCCCAGATCTCGTTCTATCTTCGTTCATCGAAGGCTATAAACGAGAAGCGAATGTTGAGCGGACTGACAGCGTGAATCGGAATTAACCGTATCGACGAGTAGCAAATCAGTATCAAAACGAGACGAGAAAAGACGGAATCTGACCGATCAGAACCGAGTTCCTCAGCGTATCGAGTGGTCCAACCGCGCGAGAGCAATCGAACGCGTCCGCCCCGCGCTCGGAGAAGGCGAAGCGAGACTCTCCTCGTCGGCGGAATGAAATGTAACGCGAAACGCGGAGGAATCCTGTTCTCAATTCTGCACGGTGTAACGTGGTCCTCCGGCTTCAGTTTCCCCGGACTCCTACGGAATCAGTTTTCCCGGCGTGCGTTCGGGCGCCGTTCCGGAACGAGCGACGGAACCGAGGGACGAAACGAGGAAAGGAGTCTTGTCGAACGATATCAGCGACGGACGGAGTTGATCGTCGATCGAACCGGCAGGAACACGCGTTCGGCGTGTCTCCCAACGGCGAACGTTATTGTTCCGTTGTTCGCCGTTCGAGGCGTATTAACGTGCGCGGCTGTGTTCGCTATTGCGCCCTCGAATGCATTTCCGGGACTCGAGGCCGAGGACGCGTTGTAAATCGCGAGACGTCGCGGCGCGGAGCTTTCCAATTTCGACTCGCTTCGAGGAAGAAAGTATACTCTCTCTCCAATCCATGTTGTACACTGTAAATACACTATAAACTGCATGGTTTGAGCGCCCCTTAATGCATCGTCAAGGATAGTACCATTAGAGAATGAAGACTTGATTAGTGCCCAAAGAGTAAAGTCCTTACTTTACTTACTTAATTACTTACTCACTTACTTAATTACTTACTTACGTTTGCTTACTTTTTCGTTTCGCGTATGACACTGCACAAACAGCACGTGATTCCTATAGCCGGAACAAATTCGATGGATCGCTCGAAGCCGCTTCCCCGTGAAAGAGAACGATCGGAGAACGGCTGCAGTGCCGACGCTACGGAGCCCAGTCGTTTCAGGCTCTTAATATTTTCTGGATTAAGGGCGGAGTCCCATTGTAGCCGACGGCGAACCTCTGCCGTCTCTTGTTCTCAAAAAATGAACCGCGGCGTTGCCCGGTGACGAATTTCAACCGATCCCTTCCGTTCCCCGGGTTTCCCGTTCGATGAGCCGTTCGCCGATTTTACTTATTGCGCCGCGTTTCTCAAATGTTTCCCCCGCGAGGATCGCTTCGACGAGCAAACGACTTCGCTCCGGCTAGAGTTCATCGTCCCGATTGCCACGTAACGACCCGTAGTATCGTAGACATCGTTCAGATCAGTGATTTCGACCCGGTACAACCGTGACACGCGCGGTCGCGCCACACGACACCACCAACACCACCCCATATTTTCACCCTTTCCCGCACACACACATACACGTTAAACACATCTGATCGATTGTGCTGGTGGTAGTGTCCCCTTAAGATCCTTAAGATGAAAAATTGTGCAGGGGGAGCAGCTGTTTCTCAAACCAGATCGTTTAGCGACACTGAAGCCCCACTGCAAGATCGAGAAGCCGCCACAGTACACGACGTTCAAGCCGAGCTCGAACAACTGAAGATTTTGCTATTGTCTATTTTCTATCGATATACACACGCAACACACGCACACGCCGCGCCGTAGGGGAGGATACGAGGGAGGAGGATCGCGATGGGAAGGGAGAGGGAAGAAGAAC